ATGGGAGCCCAGCGACATAGCCATTACGCTAACTGCTGGTCCCTCATTTCACATTCTTAACAGCAACATATGGGAATATAAGTCTTTTTAATTCTAGCTATTCTTTTTTTTAAAAAAAGTATTTATTTATTTATATTTATTATTATAATAATTGTTATTATTTTATTTTGACCAGAGAGAGAGAAAGGGAAAGGGAGAAAGCAAGCCACCAGGTCCAGGACTTGAACCACAATAGGCCACGTGGGACTCCAGCACCCTTAACCATTACACCACCTGCTGGCCCTATAATTCTAACTATTCTAATGGATGTGTAGTGGTATCTTGCCATGGTTTCAATTTGTATTTCTGTAATGACCAATGATGTTGAGTGTTTCTTAATGATTTTATTGGTCATTCATATGTCTTCTTTCATAAAATGCCTATTCAAATCATTTATTGTTTTTAAAAGTAGGTTATCTGGGGCCAGTCAAGGGAGTGGTGATTAAAGCCGCTGTATCCCACGTGGCCAAATGTATGGTTTGAGACCTGGAACTAACGACTTGGAAGAGATGCTGGGTTCCTGTGTGTGCATGCCCAAAATTCTGAGAGGAGAGCAGAGGAGAAGGGATTATAGTGTGGACACCTCCCTGGGGGGTGATTTCTCATTTTTTTCTCTTTCTCTCTCTACATAATAACTTAATAACAGAACAATACCATTAGTGAACATTTACTGAGCCTTCACTGAGGCCAGGTGTTACTCTAAATACTTTTTGTGGCTTATCTTATTAATCATTACAATGTTATCAGGTAAGTACTATTGTTAATGCCACTATACAGATACGGGAAATAGGGCAAGTGGTGTATAAGTATATTTATATATATATATTCCCCCCCCCATGTCTCAATGTCTCAGTCTGACTCTGCTGTTATTTTTTTAAGAGATTTTGCTATAGGGTGTGTGTGCTCACTGGAGAGGCAGAGAGAGACAGAGACAGAAAGCAAGAAATCACCCCCCAAGGTATATGGCCATGCCACAAGCCCTTCTCCTCCATTCTCCTCTTGGGATCTTGGGCGTACATGCACATATGCCCAATGTGAGTTTCAAGCCACCAGGTCTATGACTTGAACTACAGTCGACCATGTGGGAGTTCAGTGCCTTAACCACTATGCCACCCGCTGGTCCAGAGAGTATTCTTTTATAAGCAGTAGTCTGGGCCAGTCAGTGACATGGTGGTTAGTATGACTGGATCCCACATGGCCAACTGAACAGTTTGAGTCCTGGACTTGGTGGCTTGACCAAAATTTCAAAAGGAGAGGTAGAGTAGAAGGGATTCTAGCATGACTAACCCTCATGGGAGTGTGTTCTCTTTTTCCTTCTTTCTCTCTCTGTCTCTGGTGAATACACATGCCCTCTAGCCAAAAATGAACAAACAGTAGTCTAATAAGTTTCTCTTGCCTTTTAAAAAGTTTATTTATGTCTTTTATGAGAGTGACATAAAGACAGAGACAAAGCAATAAGTGCTCCCAACAGGGCCTGTGCCCCACAATCCATCCCCAGTCTGGGCTGGCCCGGATTACGAGCACATGTGTGTGCAAGTTCACTGTACTCAGGGAGGTCCTGAGATATGGACCCAAGACCTTTACCGTAAGAAACCAGGTGCATTACCACTCAGTCACCACTTGGCCTCTAATTATATCTCTTTGCTTTCAAGTGAGATAGGCATATGCCTACGTAGCGACTTTGAAATCTGAATGACATTCTCATCAAGAAAAAATTGTCATGTAAACATGCAGATGTTTTCATGTCTCATACAACCGTTTAGTCAGAAGCTCTCTCTGGTTATTGGTCTCAGCATAAGATTTAACAAAATAATATTCTCAGGGCCGGCAGGTGGCGTGGTGGTTAAGGACGCTGGACTCCCACATGGCCGACCATGGTTTAAGTCCTGGACCTGGAGGCTTGTTCTCTCACTTTCCCTCTCTCTCTTTCTCTCTCGCTCTGTCCCTCTCTGGTCAAATTAAAAAAAAAAATGAAATAAATGAATGAATAAATAAAGCTAAATAAAATAATTCTTTAAAAAAATGTGCTTTTAAAAAAAAATAAATAATAATATTCTCTGTAATGCCTCACTACATAATTGGGTAAAGCTAGCTGGTAGCTTCACATGGAGTACTGAAGACATTTAAGAGATCAAAGATAATTTAGTATTCATATCTTTTGTTATCTTATTATTTATTAATTTTTTTTGAGAGAGAAATTTATTTTTGCTATCAGGAATGTGCACTTGCCTGGAGAGAGAGAGACAGGAAGTGAGAAATCTTCCCCCAGTGGGAATGGCCACACTGCAATCCCTTCTCCATTATCCTTTTAGGATTCTGGTCATTTATGCACAAGTGCTCCGTGTGAGTTTTAAGCCACTGGGTCTGGGACCTATACTGCGGTTGACTACGTGGGAGTCCAGCAACGTGAGCATTACGCCACCTGCTGGCCCCATTGTTACCTTATTTTTAATTGCTGTTTGAAAATGCTTTTATTAAAAATATTTTTTTCAAGGATTAGATTGCTAAAGAACTTCTGCCCAGACTTTATCCTACTGTCCCCCAGATCTAGTGAGGAGCCAGGACAAGCCAATCACCAGCTATCTATATATGACTTTTGAGTGGCTCCATTCAGGGATTAGGACTGAAGATCTTTTGCCCAGACTTCACTCTCCTGCCCCCCAGATCTAGCCAGGAGCCAGGCTAGAATACCCTATTTATTCTGTCTGTCTGTCTCTCTCTATATTTTTTTTTTTAATTTTTAAAACTTCTTAGCTCTCTGTCCTCTTTTATCTTCCTAATTTGTGCCTTCCTCCCTCTCCCCCCCTGTCCCATAGGACAAGCCAATCACCAGCTATCTACATCTGAGTTCAAAGTGGCCTCTGTGCTGTGCAGTTTTCATTTTTTGCTTAAAAATTTTTCTCTTTTTTAAATTGGTTTTGTTTGATTTTTCCTTTTTTTTTTTTTTCCTTTTTTTTTTACCCTAGTCTCCACACACTGAGTTTCTAGACAGGTCTAGATGCATAGTAGCCAAATATCTGAATATTTTTAGGGTTAAATTAATCCTCAATTTCAATTGAATCTGCTGCACAAAGGGAGAAAAATGGTACTGTTTAGAGACTTCAGGTCACCTCCTCCTGTATGCCTCTGCGAATGCTCAGATTTAACTCCAAAAACTAGGAAAAAACAGATAATCCATTAGATGACCAGAAACTACCACAAAGGCAAAAGAAATATGAGAAACCAAGAAAATATCTCTCCCCTAAGGGAAAAGAATAACTCCCTATCCTCCACAGATAATACAAGGGAACTCATGGAAATGTCAGATAAGAATTTAAAATAGTCATAGTGACAAAGCTAACAGAGATGCAAGAGAAGAGAAACAATGAACTCTAGAAAATGCAGGAGAAAAGAAACAATGAGTTCCAGGAGGTGAGGAAGTTGTTGCACTGAAAGAGAAAATACACATCACAGAAAAGAATCAAAAGGAATTGTTAGAGATGAAGGCTGTAACACAGGAAATCAAAACCTCCCTTGAAAGTATTAAAAGCAGACTAGATCATGCAGAAGATTGAATCTCTGATGTAAGAAGAAAGAACTTCTGACCTGGAAAAATTCACCAAAAGAAAAAAGAACTTCTGACCTGGAAAAATTCACCAAAAAGATTGAGAAAATAACCCCCCCAAAATGAGATAACATACGAATATTACTAGATACCATTAAACACCCAAACATCCAGATCATTGGTATTCCAGAAGGTGAAGAAACTAATAAGGGCATTGATGGGACCAGCAGTTAGCATAATGGCTATGTTGCTGGACTCCCATGTAGTCGACCATGGTTTGAGGTCCGGACCTGGTGGCTTAAATTCACTCCAGGTGTGTGTGCATGTGTGCTCAAGATCCCAAGAAGAGAATGGAGGAGAAGGGATTGTGGCGTGGCCGACCCTCCTGAGGGTGATTTCTCGCTTTCTGTCTCTCTCAAATTACTTTCAAAGGATATCCCATCACACTAACGTCGGACCTCT